GGATAGTTAGAAACATCCATGAGAGAGAAACATCCATCAGCTGCCTCCTGCACACCCTCTACTGGGGATGTGCCCGCAACCAAGGTACATGCCCTTGACCGGAATCGAACCTGGGACTCTTCAGTCCACAGGCCGATGCTCTAGCCACTGAGCCAAACTAGTCAGGGCTATTATTTAAGTTTTTAACAATTGAATTTAATGGGGGTGACATTGGTTAATGAAGTTATATAGGTTTCAGGTGTACAATTCTGTAATACATCATCTGTATATTGTATTGTATTCACCACCCAAGTCTCTTTCTATCACCATTTATTCCCTGTATACCGGCCCTTCCCCTCTGGTATAAATTTTAATATTTCAAATTATAGTTTATATTTAACACTAGGGGCCCCGTGCATGAAATTCATGCATGGGTAGGGTCCCTAGGCCTGGCTGGCGATCAGGGATGATCTGTGGGGGACCGGTGGAGCAATTGGGGGGCCCCTGCCTTGGCTGGCCTGGGGCCTGTGGGCAGCTTCTGTTGAGTATCTGCCCCCTGGTGGTCAGTGCACGTCATAGTGATTGGTTGTTCCGCCATTCGGTCAATTTGCATATTAGGCTTTTATTATATAAGATTATTCTGTGCTAGTTCCAGATGTACAGCAAAGTGATTAGAAAATCATGTAATTTATAGAGTGGTCCCCTGCTGCTTAAAGTACCTACCTGGCCCGATACCTATTTATCATATTACTGACTATATCTCCTATGCTGTAATATACATCTCTGTGGCTATTCTGTAACTACCAATTTGTACTGCTTAACCCCCTTCACCTTTTTCACCCAGGCCCCAAACCCCCACCCCTGACAATTGTGTCTGTTCTCTGTATCTGAATCTGTTTCTAGTTTATTTTGTTCATTAGATTCTACATACAAGTGAAACCATATGGTATTTGTCTTTCTCTTATTTTGTACTACCCAATCTTAAACAGTTAGGGATTTTCCAGTTTTCTTTTTTCCTAGCTTAATCGCATGTATTCATCTCTGAGAACATTCTATTAATTAAAAATAATTTTTTTGAGACTTGCTTGATGGTCTAATTATGATCAATTTTGGTAAAATACTTCAGTCTAATTAAAAACAGTATGCATACTGTTGGTTTGGAGGATAGCATTCTATTTGTCAGTTTAAACTAGGTTTCTTGTGTTGTTCAACTTATGCTATATTTGCTTTTGAAATAAATATATTAAAATATTTTTAAAAATTGATCTACAACTCAGGAAAGAAATCTCATCTCATACTATGGTTTCCTATTCCACTTGTTTTTCTTACGTTTTTGATAGCAATAATTTTGTATATCTCCTCTTTCCCAGCCACTGAGTAGCAGGAATAGTGAGCAGGAAATCGTATATATGGATAGTAAGGAAGGCATGCTGTGAAGGCTACCAATGTCTCTCCTTGCCCTGCTGCACCACTGAAACAGTCAAAGGCCCTCTAAAACCTTGCGGGGGGGAAAAGCTGGAAGCAGAGGTTGGCTCTATCTCACTGAGAGCCATGACCAGGCATGGAAACAACTCCAGAGATGAGCTAAGTCCTGAATCTCAAGAAGAAAATTAATATTAAAGTCAGTGATAAAATCTTTCAAGTGTTACCTCTTTACATATAGAAGTCTCTCTCATACCAGTACTAAGTTCTGGCCACTACAGCCAGGAGTGAGGTTCTGTCCCAGTAAAGAGATACTTTATCAGATAAAGGGCACCACCCCTGTCTCCCAAACAGCTTTTATACATCAGCAAGACTCTCCCAAATGACTTATCCACAAAGGAACTATCAAAGCCCTCTTGGCAGGTCAGTGTGTTTGTTCAGGTAGACACAGGGTAGACAGGGGTGACAAGGATCATCTGACTAAAGCGCCTAGATACCTCTATACTGACAAAATAGTTGAAAGGAAAAATTATTTTTATAAAAACAGAAGCATGTTTTATTTCAATCCTGTTGAAGAAATGCAAGGGATGAAAAACACAGAATGAGGGGAGGGATCTTTTTATACACACGACATCAGGATCAACTACAAGGAATAATACCCATTTCCATCCCTCCCCTGCAACTCCTATATGGGGTCCAAGGACAGCTGAGAATAGATGGAAAAAGAATTAAGACACTATTGGCACAGTAATATGGCCAATGCACCGAAAGATGGAGAAACAATTTCTCAGGGAGCAAGGGCCTGAGCCTCAGCTGCTTCCCAGTGGAGGGGGATGAGAACACTTTGGCTCAGTAGGAAGATGTTTGGCAAAAATTAGGGTTACCCTAGCTGGACTCTTCAGATACAAACTATGGGCTGAAGGGAGTCAAGATGTCTATCCAGTCCATTCTTCTTCTCTGTTCCTCCAAGACCTCTTCTCTTCAGGCCTGAGATTATTGAGAGCTAGTTTGGTCCTCCTCTTCAGTTTGGAAGGCAGGGGATTAAGTGCTTATCCTACTCTTCCTACATCTAGGCTAGTCAATTACAACTTTCTTGGCTCTAAAGAGACAGAAGTCAACTAACAAGGCTGGCTCCCTTTGTGAAAGTCGGTTTGAAAGAGCCCTTGTGTTGGCAGAACTGTCTCTGCAAAGATTTCTCTGAACTTGCCTCTTATGGACTAAACTTGTTCAGACACCTTCAATTGTGTGAGATGTGAACAGAATATACCTGGTCTCTCTCTAGAGTTGGATTAACAATCCCATCTTTCAATGGAGATGGGGACGAGAGAGCAAGAGCAGGTGTTGGTAGGAGGAAGGATTGGGATAAAGCAAGGCAGTTTACACTGGATTGTGAGTAGAGTTACCTAAAGCTCCACAGAAGGAAGTGGGGTTCTCTAACATAGTATGAACAGTGAAAAAAATTTTAGTGGCAACCCTGTAATTCCCATAGATCAAAAGGGAATGTGTAAAAAAGAAAGGACTGAATGGACTAAGATAGTGGACTCAGCCATCTATCTTAAATCTGAATAAAAACTCAATTTGGCTAATACTGCTTCAAGTACAATCATGAAGACAGATGGAGCTGCAGAAATTCACACTAAAACAAAGAAAGAATGGGATCAAGTAGCCTATCATCTTAATTCCAGGCACCTCCCTTTAAAAAAGTCTTCCAGAAAAGATCTTTGAGGACTTGAATAGGTGAGAACCACTGCCTCCCTCAATATAATAACCTTCCAGGACAGCCTGATGAATTAAGACGTCTGTTTTAAGTTTAATTGGAGGAAAATGAGATTTGGAATAGTTAGCAGCTGAAGCCAAAAATGAGGTTAAGGTCCTGGTGGCATCCAGAACTGAGGGTAGAAGACTTGGAAAGGGAAGAGAAATAGGTGGTTGGGTTCCTGCTGTCCTTTGGCATTATCTCTTTCCCCTGCCTCCCATTCTTCCCAATAGTTCATGCAGCTATTGGCCTGCTGGAGGGGATGTTATGCCCAGACCAACTTTTTATTGAGCTTATGCAGCTAACAGATTGTAAACACTGCCAATTGACAAAGTTTTGCTGAATATTACAGCTTGTGTCCACTAAACACACCTCTCTCTCTCTGAGATTTAAACAAACAAAAAAACAAATACCAAAGTAAACAAATACTGAGAGAGGGAATGAAGAGACACATCTTGAGTCTTCCAGGAAGGCAAAATGAAAAAATGAAACAAAAAACAAACACCACATGGCTTGGTCCCAGGCGTTCCCATGCCTAGAGTGCCGCTGCTATCACCATCATCTCCTCTCCCTGCCAGTGGCTAGGTAGAGGTGGGGGAGAAGGATCTTGGGCATGCTGCAAATACAGCATTTGCTGGTGTTGACTCCCTCCTGGGGCTGTGGTGGCAGACTGCTGTCAGGAGCCCATTTTCTGGGAGTAGCAGAGGAAGCCCATGTCGTCAAAGCAGCCTGAGATGGCAGCTCATACACCTCAGCTGGAGTACCTTGCCCTTTTTCTCCAGTGCAGTTCAGCATTGAGGTTGTCTATTCCCAGTCGGCAATAAAACCTGAGCTGTTTTCTTCGAAGGTTCTCCCTCCCTTCCCAACTTGTGGGAGTAGTGGGAGGGGACAGGAGAGGATTACTGAGGGGGGAGGGGGATACCCCGGGGATCGGTGACCTGGCCTTCTTGCAGGTTCTTCACCAGCTGTGCAAGCCAGCGTTTCGTGGTGGTGTCATCTTTTAGCACCTGGGCAAAGGTTGTGTCCTTCAGTTGGTCAGGGAGGCACTGCCTGAGTGCTTCACGTGCCCTACATCAGAAACAAAAACCAACCAGGGAGACCAACAAATAAAGCCACATTTGAGGGACAGGGAAGAGCCCCTTACTTAGACATAAATATACAGAATTCTGGAACCTATGGCTTTGTCAAGTTACTTTAAGAAGCCATTAACATTCTTTAAAGCTTATATGAGGTACAGGCTCAGAGACATCTTCAGAATCTGTAGCCTGCAGATTTTCACAATGATGCCCCAATATAGAATTTCATGACAAAGGAAAATGGAATGAAATGGTATAATAGTTTACTTCAATTCAAACTGCTTTCTGATTTATTACAGTAAATATTGCCAATATGCTCATATCAGAAATATATGGGTTATAATAAATGAAACATTTCCAAAATCAGTACGCTAACAAGGAATATGACCCAACTCATAGTATTACAATAAACTTTAATTCTAAATTAATATAAATTTGTTTCTTTCCAAAAATTGCGTCAGTTTTACAGTTAAAACCCTTAATAAGAGATGAGCAATAAAAACAAAACTATGGTAGCAAAATTATCAGATGAACTTTTACATGCTTTATTTTTTTTTTAAAGTTGACCAGCAGAAAGTCAAATCTGAAAACCTCAAAAAGGTTTAACTACAGGGGTGGGCAAAAGTAGGTTAAATTACCAGACATCATTACCTAAAAGATAAATCATAAGTCAGGATACAAAATAATAACAATAAGAAGACAAATAATACAAATAAATAACAATACAAAGAATAAATTATTTTGCATATTCACAACTGTAAAGACCAACTTTTTATTGAGCTTATGCAGCTAACAGATTGTAAACACTGCCAATTGACAAAGTTTTGCTGAATATTACAGCTTGTGTCCACTAAACACACCTCTCTCTCTCTGAGATTTAAACAAACAAAAAAACAAATACCAAAGTAAACAAATACTGAGAGAGGGAATGAAGAGACACATCTTGAGTCTTCCAGGAAGGCAAAATGAAAAAATGAAACAAAAAACAAACACCACATGGCTTGGTCCCAGGCGTTCCCATGCCTAGAGTGCCGCTGCTATCACCATCATCTCCTCTCCCTGCCAGTGGCTAGGTAGAGGTGGGGGAGAAGGATCTTGGGCATGCTGCAAATACAGCATTTGCTGGTGTTGACTCCCTCCTGGGGCTGTGGTGGCAGACTGCTGTCAGGAGCCCATTTTCTGGGAGTAGCAGAGGAAGCCCATGTCGTCAAAGCAGCCTGAGATGGCAGCTCATACACCTCAGCTGGAGTACCTTGCCCTTTTTCTCCAGTGCAGTTCAGCATTGAGGTTGTCTATTCCCAGTCGGCAATAAAACCTGAGCTGTTTTCTTCGAAGGTTCTCCCTCCCTTCCCAACTTGTGGGAGTAGTGGGAGGGGACAGGAGAGGATTACTGAGGGGGGAGGGGGATACCCCGGGGATCGGTGACCTGGCCTTCTTGCAGGTTCTTCACCAGCTGTGCAAGCCAGCGTTTCGTGGTGGTGTCATCTTTTAGCACCTGGGCAAAGGTTGTGTCCTTCAGTTGGTCAGGGAGGCACTGCCTGAGTGCTTCACGTGCCCTACATCAGAAACAAAAACCAACCAGGGAGACCAACAAATAAAGCCACATTTGAGGGACAGGGAAGAGCCCCTTACTTAGACATAAATATACAGAATTCTGGAACCTATGGCTTTGTCAAGTTACTTTAAGAAGCCATTAACATTCTTTAAAGCTTATATGAGGTACAGGCTCAGAGACATCTTCAGAATCTGTAGCCTGCAGATTTTCACAATGATGCCCCAATATAGAATTTCATGACAAAGGAAAATGGAATGAAATGGTATAATAGTTTACTTCAATTCAAACTGCTTTCTGATTTATTACAGTAAATATTGCCAATATGCTCATATCAGAAATATATGGGTTATAATAAATGAAACATTTCCAAAATCAGTACGCTAACAAGGAATATGACCCAACTCATAGTATTACAATAAACTTTAATTCTAAATTAATATAAATTTGTTTCTTTCCAAAAATTGCGTCAGTTTTACAGTTAAAACCCTTAATAAGAGATGAGCAATAAAAACAAAACTATGGTAGCAAAATTATCAGATGAACTTTTACATGCTTTATTTTTTTTTTAAAGTTGACCAGCAGAAAGTCAAATCTGAAAACCTCAAAAAGGTTTAACTACAGGGGTGGGCAAAAGTAGGTTAAATTACCAGACATCATTACCTAAAAGATAAATCATAAGTCAGGATACAAAATAATAACAATAAGAAGACAAATAATACAAATAAATAACAATACAAAGAATAAATTATTTTGCATATTCACAACTGTAAACCTATTTTTGCCCACCCCTGTATAAGGCAGTTTCGTTTTAAGCAAAGTTATGACTCTGTACAAGTAGAATTTCAAATAAATATAGTCAAACTTTGGTGAAAATAGGAACCACTAAGGAACAGGACAAAATGGTCAAATAAATAGTTAGGGCTTGAATAACCTCAGTGGCAAGAGTTCACATTAAATCAAGTAATTCCCATTCCTAGGAACACAGAAATCACCCCATTATGTGGTTTAGCAGAATCTGAGCAAGTGGCTTTCAGCATGAATTATGGATTTATAAAGCAAAAGGTCAAATATTTCTAAAATGCATTATACCTACAATATATGATTTCTGGCTGAAAGATTTTATAAACATAGGGAGATGAAATAATTAGCTAAAGAACTTTACAGGAATCAAGGAGAGAAATGAAAATACATCACGAGCCCTCTAAGTCCTGTTCCTTTCTTAAGATCTTTGAAAATATTATCTTTTTGACCACCTAGAGTAGCAATAGAAAGCTCAAATCACAGGAGTAATGTATTCTAAGGTTCCCAGGGAACTATTTGAACTCTTTGGAATTTTAGAGTAGGGTACAGTTATAATGGAGAAATAAAATTCTGATGGATTTAAAAAATTTATCACTTCAGATTTTAAAAGGAATTAATCAAGTTCTGTCTCAGATAAACTAAATATAGTTATATCCCTCCCTGCCCTAAAGATATAGAAGCTATGCCATGAGATGAAGCAACCTTTCACCAGAGTATTTCCCCAAAGTCCTATAAATTCTGTAAATGTTTACCTGGGATTATCTGAGAGTCGAAGGTAACATCTTACTACATGCTTCAGCAGACGGGCGGAAGGTTCTTTGGATAGCTGCAGGACCATCTTACCCTGTTTCTCCCCAAAATGGGGTGGGTAGGAAAAAAACCGCAAAACACAAAATAATCAAGAGATACCGCAAGAATGATTATACAAGGTTCCAGGGTTGTTTCTAGTTGGAATACTGAAGTTGTTCAGTATCAATTGCAAAGGGACTAAGCTGTGTGGTCAGAAGTAGTTGCAAAGAGGGTGGATAAAGGAACTCACCAAGATCATGGCAACATGGGAGAAACGCTCATATGTCTGACATATATAAGCTAAACCGGTGTCATCTAAGAGGATCTTCTGAAGGATGAATGTGGCAACCTGGAGTAAAACAAAATGAAGGAGTCCAAAACATTACTCAGATTTGTCTTCCAACAGTATTCAATCTCCCAGAAATAACCATGAATCAGAAAATGAAGCAGAGACTCTTGCATTACATACATCTTACTTGATGAGATATACATAGTAAAAACAAAAACAAAAAAACAACTACAGTGGGGCCTTGACTTACAAGTTTAATTCGTTCCGAGACCGAGCTCGTTAAGGAGCTCGTTAACTCAAATTACTTCAACGCAAT